TTCAGACATTTGGCCGCATACTGAGTTCTTCCATCCTGCTGCCCTCACTGAGGACAAGGAATGCAAACCAAGAGCATTGCAGAAATGGGAATTATACTGAAACAACACAAATAGGGAAGGGAAAAGTATCAGAACCACATTGGAGTGCCCCTGTGTCACACATATTTCTGGTGATGCTTCACCAACAACTCGTGAGCACAAGGGGTGGTCAGGGCAGCACAGGCAACAGTTACACTCAACCCAAATGTGAAGTTTTAGGCAAGAACACCCAAATCTCCCATCCTGTGAGGCAAACCATGGCAAGGCTCCCTTGCATTTCTGTTCTCAGAGCTTTTTTGAGGATTCAGGGAAATGCATATCACAGAGAAAGCAGAGCCCATGTTGTTCCCTCAATTTTCTTGAATTCCCTCCGAGACAAAACAGACCAGGCCAAAACAGGCCACAGCTACTGATGGCATTGGGTTTGGAAAATGTCTGTTTATGTGAACATCAGTTTTCATAATCTGATTCAGTTTGCAGGCTGGTGTGTAAGCCGATTTACCTGGAGACTGTAGAATTTCTCTCTCCTCTATTAAATCTGAAGATAGTCAAGTTATACTGAGCATTGAATGTTTTAGAAAGCCCTTTCAACTAAATTTCCTCTCTTCCTCTCCATTCCCTGTTCCTTTCCACAATGGACCAGGAATCCAAGTTTTAGAAAGTTAGTGAAGGAAAACAAATAGTCGTGTATCAGTTGCTCTCTCCCTGCCCATATGAAACCTACCACTTTAATTGTCCATGGAAGGAAAACACTGACTGGTCTTAACTACAGAGTTATTCAATAGTCATAGAGAAAAAGTTCTGCTGTAGAAGAGTGGAGAAAATAAACAGCCTCTCCGCCTTCCTCTTCCCCATAAGTACAGCACTAAAACTTGTGGGCTGGAGCCATCCTACTGGAATGTCAGCATTCCCTCCACTGCTGCACAGGGAAGTGGACATCTCTGGAGGGCAGTTCTTCAGCTCTGTAGCATCTACGAGCCATTAGGTTCTTAATTCAGTTGATGGATAAACTAAGGAGAATGAATTGAGACCACAATTTAATGAAAATAAAGGTGTGAGAAAGACTTCTATAAAAAAAGAAATCTGCTCAGTGAAAATAAAAGGCTCTAGCTACTTTAAGATAAATACAGCATTTGCGATATTTGTATCTTATGACAAGCTTAAAAAAGCATACAGTATTTGAGTCAGATGAGTGTAGCTACCCAGCCTAATGCTACGTATGCTTGCTTTTTTCCATTCTGAGAAACTCTTCTTGTTAAAATGCAAGGGAAGAAAAGAAAAATCTGTAATTGTCTTGTACACCTTGCCATACATTTATCTCAAATTCAGCACAGATCTCTAATGCTGTTTAATGGGAAAAAAAAAAGCAGAAATTTTGTCATTCAAGTATGTGTGAGGTTTCTGTCGGATGCAGACTGTGTGGAGTTCGGTGAATAGTTAAAAGGGCTGATGAATTGGATTACAAATGCATATTTCTACTAAATCAATCAGAGAATCTATAGCATTGTCTCAGACTAAAATTTGGTTTTTGATTACTATATTGTATTCTCTAACAAATGCATAAGGTCAGATCCTCACCATTCGCAATTCTTTAGTGAAATGAGATGATGAAGGTGCCGACAACACCTGACAAAAGCAGCCCAATGTTGTCTTTTTTCTTTTTTCCGTGTTCCTGATGGCTAGGGTGGGCTAACTAACTGAAGGAAAAAAAAGGTGGGTGAGTGGCTGGAAATTGCACAACATTGCACCTGCGGAAAAGACTAGAGAGAGAGGAGTAAGGTGTAGCCTAAACATCAGTGGATATTGGCCAGTGCAAGTCGGGTGCAGGTGCCTGTGCTCCTCACAAGACGCAGGGGCAGCTGGCATACATGGCCCAGGCTTGATGAGGATGCAGAGCTGCACATTACACACATACACCAGCTGTACATGAGCTGCTGCTAATGGAAACTGCAGCTGATGAGGTCCCCAGGCAAATTAGCACATGACGAGCTCCAGGAGCCTGGGGCCAAGCAAGGACTGGTCTCTCTGAAGGGATTTGCAGCCCAGGCTGATGGTTGCATTTCTGCTAACTCATGCACATTCCTCATGCAATATCTGTGTAAACTCCAGCTCACTAGTGGCTGCAAAACAGGCATATCTCCATAGTTCCATCTTTGGGGCTAGGTATCACTGACTCAGAAAGTGAGTCTAATGATACAGATGTTAATAATAGTCTGCTGAGTATTTTCAGATTTATGTTTATTCAAACATCTCAACAAACGATGGATGGATGGTATTTGGTAGATATATGGAAGACATAAAGGCCAACACAAGCCATTAAAAAAATAAAAAAAAAAGAAACAGTCTTTAAGTTTTCAAAAATGGATTAAATATTTTAGTATGTTGTAATACTTATTTAGATTAGCTTTTGAAAATGTGTTTAAACGCATTTTGCTAGTCCCAAGTATACAAAAATAGTTACTCGGAAATCTTCCACACTTGGTATATGCATGTATATCTGTGCATTTTCAGCTGAAAATCCATATTGTTACTTTTACTATTGATGATCATTAATATTTGTGAAGAAGAACAGAAAACAAAACATATTTTATTAGAAATTTAGCACAAAAATCTTTCATGCTTGTTAATTATTAATGCAGACATTTTCCTCCAACTGTGTTCTTGCTTGCTTTTGGACTTGTCATTTTTCATGATGTTTTTCTGTAATAATCACCTAGTTAAGACATTTATTCCTTTTTTTTTTTTTCTAGTTCCTGCAGGAATTTCCCAATCAAGCGCTCTTCATTTTGCTCCTTTTTCAGAATTCTAGTTAATTTGTCACTATTTTAGAAATTAAGTATCTCTATAGATACAATTAATAATTTGGTTTTCTGACTGATCTCTGAAATATGGATTGAAATATGGTCAGCCTGAAGTAATTATTAATTTGGAGGTAGAAATGTTTCATAATTTTTAAATTTCACTTTTAATGAATCTTCACATGAACCAACCCAAAGCAATCTATTTTTTTTTACACTATCCACATTTTATCTTAATTGCATTTTTCACAGGGAATTACAACTTTAATTCATCACTAACCTGGCATTTTAAGGGCCATCTTACTAAAACAACACCGTGCAGACTGTCACAGGATAAGTGTGTACTTTTAAGAACACAGATTCATGCTCCCAACAGAGATGAGTATAATGAGACCAGACTCTCTAGCTCATCAGACAGCCAAGAGCAGGGTGGACAGCCAACTTGCCCTCATTTTATTCGGGCAACAGAAGCAGCCACCTATGTCACAAGGTATTTGCTTGCTGATTAGAAGTTGCAGCCTTTACCTAGAACTCAGGTAGATTGAACAGAGTTTATAAGGAATGAGATCACTCATTTTCTTGGTCTTTGAAACACTTAATGTTCAGAAGCAGACTGCAAGTCCAAGAGGAAGTAGTCTGTATAAGGAAGACTGAAAATTAAATATTTTTCAGTGAAAATGGCAGTGGCCTTATAGCTTTGGGGTCTCTGGGTTGAACATAGACTCAGGGATGGAATCAGGATCCCCTACATTTTAGCTGTTCCACCCTGTTCTGATGGCAATCATTTTTCCTTGAAGAGCAAATGTAGAAGACTTCCTTATGATTGTTAATGATGTACTCTAAACAGTATGGATTGCAGGTGGGATTTCAAAAGCATTCTCTGCTGGTCTGGCTCTTGAAATCAATAATGTTCTTCCCCCATTAACTTCAATGAGTTGCTTAAAAATACCTTACTATTATCAAGTTACTGACATTACTCCACACACACTCGACTCCACAGTTAAATCTATGCTCAGATTATTTTGCCAGATTGTGGCCAGTCTGAGTGTTTTAGAATCAAAAAAATTCTAATCTTTACCATGTACAAATGGTCCTGTTTTCTCTTTAGCTTCTCCATACATCTTAAGATATCAAAATACAACATGACTCATATTCATTGTGCTTCATGTACATTTCTCAAACGTACCAAAACAATTAACCATAGATAATAGACAAGATATTGCTGGTAACTCAACCGAGAAATTTATGACAATGGTGATACTATGGTTTGTTTTTAGCAATTACTTGTATTCTCTGTGAGATAGAAACTATTCCAGAGCCTGGGAGCAGAAAGCCTATAATCCAGCCATTAGGAAGAGACGACAGACTCACTGAACTGCCATGCTGCAAGGATTGCTTCTCTCTTTGTCGTTACTCTGTTGCAAAGACAATTATTTCTGTTGAGCTTGGGCATAGGTTTCTCTCTGAAGGAACCTCAGACTGGGAGCACTTAATTTCTCCAGGGAGGAACATAATTTATCCTATTCATAAGCAAATAAGTAGGTTAGTAATTAACATGAGAAAGACTATTTGAAACAGATGGCAAAAAGGAGAACTGGAACCTCAGGCAACTGCCAAAAAAACAGGCCAAGGGCCTTATGTCCTCTCTTCTTGCATTCAAGGTCAACGAAACACGAACTACTTTGGTCTGGAAGTGTGAGAACTGCACTGATGTGGAGATGCGGCCAATGGGATGCCGTCCCTGACCATTGGTCCTGCAGTGAGAGAGCAGCTCCTGAGCCACTGCAGGCCCCATGAAGAGGCAGCAGGGCTAAGCTACCCATACCTTCCTCAACCTCCCTACCTACATGAGAATGTAGGGGAGGGAACTGTGTGCTAGTGGCATTACTATGATCTATCTGGTTTGGATAGACGTGTAGAGAATCCCAATGAAGCTATTCAACATGGGATCAAAAATGAACATGATTATTTTATCAGCTGTGCACTCACAATGTTGCGAACGGCTACAAGGTCAGAAATCTGCAGTAGGTGCTTTCCAGCACTTTCCGGGGAAACAAGGGATGTGTTTAGAACTACTTCAAAGCTCTTTTAGTCTACAACAAATCACGCAAACACTGTTGGTTCTTCCAAAGGGCCTTTTTGCAGAAGGCATTAGTGGCCGCCATGTCCAGTGCTGCCACGATCCAAGCACGGCAGGAACCTGCGCAAGCTCCCATGGCTCGAGGTAAGCAGCACCCTTCTCTGTATCCTCTCAGCCTGAAAGCCCCACTGTAATGCCTTCCCTGCCCTCTGCAGTGGCTCACAGCACTGCACCAGGCAGCAGATTATTCAGACCCAAGCTGGAGCTTGGCAGTTCTAGAGCCCGGTAGTCCAGTCCCAAGTGGCTAGTGCAAAGAAATGCTAGCAGAAGGAAAACATCAATGCAAGGTCCATGGTTCACGGCAAAGCAGCCACCAACATACTTTCTCAGAGGTCTGGCAGGGGACTTCCAGGGTAATATGTTTTAAAAGCAGCTTTCACTCTCCAAAGTGCGATGAAAAGAGGAGAAATGCCAGTGAAGAAGAAACTGATGTATTAACTTACAGGTGTTGAGTACACACAAACCAGAAATGCATGAATAAGAATGTTGTTTCTTAACTGATAGTGCTTGCACATAGAGTTAATCATTTAATAAGGTAAATACGTTGAAATGTGACCAAGTTTCTGCCCAGGTCCTGAGTTGGAGTGTCCCTAGTTGGTGAGCTGTGAGAGGCTGCAGCGTGACAGGACCTTAGGTAGGCCACACATTAAGGTGCATCTGCTTCGTTGCCCCCAGATGAGCACAAAACAAGAAGTATCAACACAAAAGCCAGGTTTTGTCTGGCTAGAAACAAAAATACATGACCATAAGTGGACAAAACTCAATCATCTGTAAGTCTCCATGAGGCAAAACTGCAACACATCAAGCAGCGCTGCCCCAGGCCGGCCTGCCGCGAACCTGCATCACTTGGGGCTGCCCCCACATTTGGAAAATATGTTGGGAGCACCAGGGTCTCCTCTGTGCTCCAGCCCAAAATGGCCAAAGGCCCCTGGAGCTGCTTACCCTGCCAGGGCCCAGTTGAAACTCCAAGTATATCTGACAGCACTGCTAAATTTGGACAGTCAGTGGTCTTAATCAATCAGATCCAATTTACTTTTCATGGTTTTTTTTTCATTTTTTTTAACTTTTTTTTTTAACTTGACAAAAAATGCTTACATGATACTGCAGAATCACTGACAGTGCTGGGTTTAAATTTGCAGGTGATGAGCCTATGTTTTGTCTGAGGAAACAGGTTGATACTCCTAAAAATATATATATATATATGTATATATATATAAATCATGTATCCCTAGTTGTAGTTCTAATAGAGGGTCATTGTAGCTCTAATACAGGGTAAATACTGAATGATCCTTACAAACTGACATGAGCCTTTTGTGAAAATCAGGGCATATATAGCAACAATTTCTAAGTTAATAATATTTAATTCATGTCACAGATTAAATAAACATTATTAATTAGTAAGCAAATAAACATGAAACTTAGTCAGGACCATTGAATTTATTACTCTTCTTTACTGAATTGAAAGATAAGGTGTTTTTCATTGGCTACCTACGTTTGCCTATAACGCATTCCTGTGGTTATGAATTTTAACCCTGTAGCATATACCCATGCAGTTCTAAAATCTCCACTGACTGTCTTATTTTCAGAAGAAAACAATTCATCGGTCGGAGAAGATCAGAGTTTTATTTATTTTATTTATTTTATTTAGTTCAGTGATTTGCTTTTATGTTCAACACAATGAAAAATATATTCTAGGTGTCCCTGCTTGAGCAGGGGGGTTGGACTAGATGATCTCCAGAGTTCCCTTCCAACTTGAACCATTATGTTATTCTGTGGGGAAAAAAAAAAAAAAAAAAACTGTGACTTTTGTCAAAATGCCCTAAGCTTCAGTCATAAATTTTAGGTTTTAAGTAACTCAGGTTTCAAGTAACTCAGGTTTCATTTGAATATAAAGCATTTATTTATTCCCACAGACTGTGACCTATTGCATTTCTCAATCACTATGAAGATGGAAATGTCTGTCTGCAGACTGCAATATTTATGACCATGGCAGGAAGTAATGGTTTAGAGTTCAAACCTCTGAGTGCTGTTTGGAGATTGATAGAGATATATGTGGTTTCCAGAAAATGTAATGCTCTGAGGTAGTCCCTAGATGTCACTAAATACCATGTCTGGTTTAAATACAAGTCAAAGAAGTTTTGCACCAGTCTTGCACTTCATTCTTGAGATGTAAAGTATTCCTATCAACTGTAAAATCGTAGTTTTCAAAAATATGTTTTGCATTTGCCCTTCCATTTTCTCTGTGAAATAATTTCACACAGAATATTAGGAAAGTTAATATTTAACAGTCTTCTTAAGCATGAGTCTTATGAGAAGCCAGACAGCTGGCTTTACTTCTGAGCTCTGGGACAGACATCCTGGGTGGTTCATGTCTTCCCTGGAGACTACTTAGGGCTTGATACAGCAACTTCTCACTTCAGAGCAAATGTCTTCCTGTCTCGTGGGGATGAAATTCAGCCAGTGTTAAGTGCTTCCTGAAAACCCCTCCTTGAAAATCACTCCTTTCCCTTTTGTTTTATGAAATTACTTTCCACTGTGGCTTTTCTTCACCATTTCAAGGGGTGGTGATCACAAGAGAAGGCCTGTTCCTGCTGTGTCATTTCGGTGAGCTTAACACAGTCCCTTCGAGGCTATGCCTTGACCGATTCTAAACCTTACTATAACATGGCTCTTTCTCATCACCTTAGCTATTTCTGAAACAACACAACTCAACATAGAAAATATCTCAGTAACCAAGATATTTTTTGTAAATTGTTATCCCTGCTATAGCAAAGATATGCAGACGGGTGAATTAAGCAGTACCAGTATCTGGTACTGGAGCCAGCTGATAGGGAGCAGCCAGTGCCCATCCTTTCTGCTGCCTCCAAAACAGAAGAACATGCAAGCTGCCTGTTGGGAATGGTCCTCAGACTGAGACAACTCTCAAACCCTTCTAAAAATTATTTAGAAGAGTTCTGATTTAGGACAAAACCATATTAGATACTGTTCTAAAAAAATAACTTCTGGGATAATTGCACTCCTGCTTATGGGAATCCTTCTTGGCACTGTTACCAGTATAGCTGTAGAAATATTGTCTCCCTGCATTCTTAAAAATAATATACATGAAATGCATTTCTTTTTCAAGTGTGTTTTCAGAACTTGTTTTATCTAGCACTCCCATTCTCACTCTTCCATGATGACATTTCTTTAAAAAAAAAAAAAAGTGCTATATGCTTCTATTTTAATTACATTTACTGTGGAATTATATCTGTATATTCTCTGCAGTGGACTCACCTCATACCAAGAATATTAGATAGGAGGTTGCCTTTGACAAAATGTAGGTCTATGCGGAAGATTTTCAATGGTAAATCTGATTCATAGATAAAATTTCTGATCATTTGCTCTTACATTGGCATCCAGTATTTTCTTGGACTCTCAAAGCAGCCCAGAAAGAAGTGGTCTCTATAGAACAAAATGTGTTAATAAGGTGGCTTTGTGCCTTAAAAATGTGAAAAATACTTGCAAGTGTTAAGATAACCTCCCAAGTGGAGAACATTCCACTAATATTTAAAGTAAGGAAAAAAAATGAGTGATTTGTGCATGCTGAAAAGACACTATAAAACAGAAGTGTGCTCCACCAGCAACTCAGCTGTTACGACTGCAGTCAAATAGCACTTCCTTTTGGCAGAAAAAGTACTCAGTCTTGTGGATTTATTCTTGAGGTCAGGAAACCTGTCAACTTTCTGTGTAGTATGTTAAATCATACCTGAAGTTATGCTATCTTGACCATTTAGGAAGTGCCCTGCTCATGGTACTGGGATGGCCTAAGTTTAGCTTTCTTTTAACTTTTCTTCTTGATCCCTCGCTGGTAATTTACCTACCTTTGTGCTTATTTCACACCACTGGAGCAAAGCCCCTTTAGTTTCTTTCTGATGAGCCTGGGTCTAGCGGGGACAGAATTAGAGCAATTTAATGTATTTTTTATATTGTGACTGTCTGAAGTGGAAAGAGAATAATACAAAAATTGTCACTGGGAAGAAGCAGGGACTTGGTGTATCATAGGAAATCAAAGTTGCTGAAATATATAGCTCTGAGATTTACTGTATATATCAGCTCTGCAGGAGTACACACAAAGCACCACCCTGCTCTGCCACTCTCATGCCCTCATTCCCATGGCACACATTATTGTTGTTACTATCATTTATTATTTGTAGTGTAAGAGTGTCTAAGAATCAAGTCACAAAACTGCCCCCAACTGCTTTACAAACTCTGCAGATACAGGACCAAAAGCCAGTCTGAGACTGCAAGCTCTGAGATCTCCATGGCAGAGAAAAGCAGGCAAGCAGGTTTCAGCCCTCTACCTGCAGGGGTTCTGCTGCTGCTAATTGACAAATAACTGTTGTCAAGTGTTTGTAAATGTGGTAACATTAATGAGGCATCTGGGGAACAAGGAGATCAGATTGAGGGTGTTCCTAGGGAATTGTGCTAAGGCGGGATAGAGGACAAATAAAATTAGTGTTTGCTTTAAAAATATAAAAAGTGGATGGTAGAGATAACAGTCTGGTTGACTGAGGAACTGAGGAATATTACAAAAGAGAATAGTAAATATGTCAGTAATGTATTAGAGATGAGCTAAGTAGAGATGTTACAGTAACTATCAGGTATGAACCTGAATGTTTCCTGTGTTATCTTATAGTTAATATTCCACTTAAGTTTACTGAAAGAGTTAAGATCAAGTACTACGTCCATACTTCATGCTGAGGTATATATCACCAGGGATGAGGAGAGATTGCTAGAGCTGAGTAAGAGAGCGTTTTGAGCATCCATCTGAATAAAGCAAAAGCATAAATCTGCTTTGATACACATTTTTGTCATAGTCCCTTTTCTGCCCCACAAAAGCATTTTTGTTAAGCAATCTTTTTTAAAGACATGTCCAAATCTTCACAGGTTTGGAAACCACATTACCAGGGAACAGCAAAACAAGCAGCCAACCTACGTCACCAGTAACACATCCTGCAAAGACCCAAAAGACAAATTACAAGTCCTGGACTGGAGCAGGAATAACCAGTTACACCAGTGCAGGTTAAGGAAGTTTAAGGTTGTGT